CTTCAGAAGACAAGTTGATAAAGTAAATTTTAAATATGTGTATTGTTTGATACAAGTGTGTACTGAACCTAAAGCACTGTTTGATACAGTTCGATACAAGTACACGTATTGTTGTACCCCTGATAATTAGATCATACAGAAGTAGATCCTCTATTTCTTCAGATTTAAATTATTAGAAACTACAACATTGCTATCTATTAGTGTAAAACTGATCATTTCTGTTTGTATTTTCAGAGTCAGAGATAAAACATTGGATAAAAACAGCAGCTAAATTGTTCCCTTTATTATTTTTTTCCACGTACAAAAGAAACAAAGGGAACAGAACATTCCAGCAACACAAACTCTGTGAAACAAAGTAACACAATCAAAGATGAAAACAGGACTTTTTTTCTAAGTGAACTTGTTATCAAGTCAGAATCTTTCCAAAAGGAAAATCTCAGCTGGAGTTAATGAGAGAGTTGTTTGTTTGTCTGTTAGCAAAATATCTTCTACATTTACACTCAGTCCAGTTCAAAATGGCAGCTGATGAGTCATTTCCAACACAAACTCTGAGAGCTAAAAGTTTAAAACTTTGACAGGCAGGTTTTATTTTTATTTTTATTTTTATCTGAACTCATTTCAGCAGATGTAAGGTTTGAGAACCAGTCCTCGTTACCTGACAGGTGATATACATTCATTAAATGCTTTAAACGTGTGTCTATACAAAGTTATAACACATAATTAAAATATAAAATCTATTTTTATGACTAATATGCAGCAGTAACTGAGCATTTTTTATAGTGTTATCCAGATACATTTTAATTTTAATATTAAAAATGTCAAAACTATACATGCTCTACGTTTTTTGTTATTTTTATTTAACTATAGTTATTTACAGCAACAGAACAGCATCAATGTGGTAAATAAGCCTCGTTAGCGTAAAGGCTAACACCTGCTAGCGTCTAACATTAGCCTTCAATCTAACACGGTAAAATAATTTCATATGCCTCCTACACTCACATTTTTGGTTTTAGTTTGGATATTTTTGCACTTAATTTGTTAAAATAAACTAACATTTTAACTGACAAAGCAAGCTGGTTAAAATAAAACATGATTGTAGCGCAGAGGAAAGCTAACAAGCTAATGACCGCCATCATGTTTTGTTTTAGAAATGTACACTAACACTTCCATAGCTTAGTGGTTAAGTAAAGTTGACGTCTAAAAACATAAACAAAATAATTTCACTTTTCTTTTATTTATTTTTACCGTAAAAGACCAACTTCCGCAGCTTTGAAGATGGAGCTCCCAGCGCGATGTGCAGCTGAGTGAGGTCGTTACAACCCTCTCTGACTGATCATTGGTAAAGTGTCCATCAATCAATAGACCAATCATAAGCGCAGACAGATCATTAAGCCCCACCTTCCAGTTATGAAGTAGGGCAGGTTGTTGTGTCATATTTATATTCTTTATATTTCACAGTTTTTGGACTTTTTTTTATAAACAAATTTTATGCATAAAACTTGTAATATTCACAACAAACGTCAAATGTACATGATTAAGCAAAAATATTTGAATTAGAGAGAATTTCTTTATATTTTGTGTAAAATAAAATCAACTTTTTTATGATTTTTAAGGGTTATTCAGTTGTTTTTAATAATCTTTGTCAGAAGATTACTAGCTTTTTTTTTATTAAACCAAATAACTGTAACCTGTTTGTTAAAGGGATCCCCGATTAGCTGTAACATTAGACTTTATTTGATAAACATATATTTTAACTGTAAAATAAAGACTGTGTAAATACTGTAAGATGTTTAGTTTTGTAAAAGTTTAAATATATATTTTAACACAGACAGAGCCATTTTATTTCCACACAAAGCATTCTGGGTAAATGATGACGTGGATAGGTCCTCGGTGCG